AGTTGTAGATGGACAGCATGGCTTTATTTTATTTATTTTTTTATGTAGTGCTAAGGATTGAACCCTACGCCTCACACATGCTAGGCAAGTGTTTTGTCATTGAGCTATGGCCCCAGCCCAACTTATGATTAAGTTTGATTTATAAATTAGGTATAGTAAGAGATTAATATAGTAATAATAAAATAGAGCTATTATAATAATATTCTGAACTAAAGTTTATTTAACATGATGCCTCTCAAAATACTTTATTGTACTTTCCTCATCCTTCTTGTGATATCAGATGATACAATGTCAATGTGATGAGAAAAAGTAAGGTTAATAATATAAACATTGTGACCTAGTGTTAGGTTACTGTGTAAGGTTATACATACATTGGAACATCAGCAGATGATCTTATAATCCATGGCTACTAAGTGACTTGGGGGCAGGAATGTATGTAGCATGAATAAACTGGATAAAGTGATGATTCATGTTCCAAGTGGACTAGAACAGAATGACAGGAAATTTCATTATGCTAATCAGGACAGTGCACACTTTAATTCTTATGAATGGTTTATTTCTGGATTTTTCAGTGTAACATTTTCAGACTATGGTTGACCACAGGTACCTAGAACCATGAATTCAAAATCACAGATAATGGGGGACTACTTTTGTTACTACTATTGTTATTATCATGTTGCTAATATCAAAAACTTGGAATCAAAGTGTTTATCTTGGCAAAAAATATGTAAAAAAAATTCAAACATATCATTGCACAGTTGTAATAAAAACAAACTACAGAAATGTGCAATGATATGTTTGAATTTTAGCAATATAAGTGAAAAAACTAAGTCTCCAAAGATTATATATAATGTGATTCTTTGTCATATATTTTTGTTAGCATGCAATTTTTATTGTTTTTTTAAAATCTATTTGTACAGTTAGTACTCCAGTATCAATTTCAAACCGTAAAAAGAATGTACTTCCCAGTGATAACAGGCCACAACTATTCATCTGAAAAGAAACCAAACTCTGCCTCTGAAAAGTTTACTAATTACACAGTATTACACACTAATAAACACTGTAAATAATGTTGGAACTTCAGTATTTAATATAAATCACATGCTGCCTTTTCTTTTTAAAAAATTTTTTTAGTTGTTGGTAGACATTTTTAAAAAAATTTTTTTTATGTGGTGCTAAGGATCGAACCCAGTGCCTTGCACATGCTAGGCAAGCACTCTACCACTGAGCCACAACCCCAGCCCACATGCTGCCTTTTCTAATGCTTACAACATTTGTTTAATATCATTTAGAATAAACGCTTCATGAAAATGCTCCTTTACACTCACACATGAACAAACTGATACACAGAAGAGCAACCAATTGAGTAAATGGTAAACATAACAAACAGAACACTAAATTTAGATAATCATACATCTGTGATCTTACTATCTACAGTCCTACCTATGACTTAGGACATACTGCCAATTCTACATAAATAAACTTAAGTTAAAATGACAACAGTTTCAATGCATGATGACAAGATACATCTCTAGTCTGTATAATACGTGATCATTCTGTTAACAATAAATAAATGTTAAGGTTTTATGATCATATCTTTTCCATATTTTATTTTTAACTCTTTCTTTGTTACATAATTTTAAATTGTTTTTTAAAAATGCATTTCCTTGTTTATTCTCTTCACCCAGAATTAACATACTGAATTAGGAATAGATGAAGAAGATAAACTCTGTCCTGGTATAGGTGAAAATAACTTAGTTCTACTAATTAAACATTTCTTTTGTCCATTTATTAGTTGTTGCTATCTTTGTCATATATTTATAAAATGAAAAATATACTCCTTGATCTAACAAATATCATAAAAAGGAAAGATAGAGAATGATAAATGGAATTCATGATATTGTTTACCTTTACAGGAAGACAGAGAGATGGGACGGAGTATACCATCTAAATTGAAGTAGATATATCAGTCAGCCTTACTGCATAATAGACAACTGAAAAAGTTTCTGTGGCAGAGAGGTTAACCCAGAGTTAATAGTGGGCTTAGCTGTACAATTAAAAGTTGCAAGTTGCATCTAGATTTGCTTCATGTATTTTTTTATACATATGACAGCAGAATGGATTATAATTCTTATTACACGTATAGAGCACAGTTTTTCATCTCTAGCTGTATTCAAAGTATATTCACACCAATCTGTGTCTTTATACATGTACTTTGGATAATAATGTCCATCACATTCCACCATCATTTCTAACCCCATGCCCCCGCCCTTCCCCTCCAACCCCTCTGCCCTATCTAGAGTTTGTCTATTCCTCCCATGTTCCCTCTCCCTATCCCACTATGAATCAGCCTCCTTATATCAGAGAAAACATTCAGCATTTGGTTTTTGGAGATTGGCTAACTTTTAGCATTCCATATATCTTTTGTAGTACTTGGGCCAGTAGGCTTACTGGGGCTTTTTCTTGTTATAGTACCATTAGAGAGGAAGCCCTAACGTGCAAGCATATTTCAAACCTTTGCGTATGTCATATCTCTGAACATCTCATTGGCCAAAGCATGTCACATGGTTAAGGTCAAAGTCTGAGGGTACAGAAATATCTTCCTCCAGTGGTGGTGGAGACAGTGGAGAAGTGGACATTTATTTTAAATACTATCTACTCTTTATTGATTATTGGTAGAACCTAGTTATTTGGAGGAGTGGTAGAGTCATTAGATTACTAAAAGGATAAAAAAAGTTGCCCAAGTGGACCAGTGATGTATGTCATGAATATTGATTCATGGTTAATTCTGTGAACCTGCAGACCAGTGTTTATAAAAATTTTTAAATTATTATAAAATGAACATGTTATTAGTTCAATGACACATGCCTGTAGTCCCAGCTACCCAGGGGACTGAGACAGAAAAATCATTTAAATTCCTCTAAGTGTAATAAAATAACGTGCAAGAAATCTTTATTTGTAAAAGAGGATGGAGATATCTAGAAAATATCTCAAGGTTATTATCAGAACTTTGTTTAATATACTGAACTGCAATTTATGGGGTAGAAAAGAGAGAGAGATCCTCTTCTGTGTATAATCTTTCCTTAGACTACCCTGCCTTTTGTCACTCCTTCCTTATTTGTATATGTCTTCCACTTTAATTTGGCTTACTTCCTCATTACCCACACATCTTATTTCTATTTATCCTCCTTGCCTTTATGTTGCTTTTCACATCCCAAGAAACTTTATCCTTCACTGGCTTCACATTCTTGTCATTTGTAAGTTCTAGTTTTTCCATGACCACATCCTACTTATGTCACCCTCACCAAACTCATTTTCATTGGAATTCTTACAGCACTATATCACAAAATTTAGCATATATTTACATGCTTTTTGTAAAATATTTAATAATATTTCCTATATATGACTATTATCCCCACCTCTTACAGGTCTTCAAAGCATATTGACATCCAAGACCATATCGAATTTTCTGGGTTTTCTTTCGAAGTATTGATATAGGTCTGGCAATATAAAGAGGCTGATTTTGGAATATCTGGACTCAAATTCAGTCCTTTTAGTGAACTGTACTAGCTTTGCTTTCATGAGTTATCCCAGCTCTTAGACCAAATTTGGCCTGTCACCTTTAATAATCTTTTATTACAACACAGCATTATTCATATGTTTTTAAATCTTTTGTGAATGCTCTTTCACTTTGCAAGAAGAAAGCTGAGTTTTGGTAGAAACCATATGGCCCTTAAAATCTTTCCTGTGCACAGACAAACCTCTGTATCTCAACTGGGGTAGTACTAACCCCATCACAAAAACTTAATATTTTGAGTAAATTTTGAAAAGTTTGTCTTTCCCATTATATTCTGTTTAGAGAGGAGGGTTTGTGCTCTTCTTGATCTTTGTTTTCATATTACTTGGTGAAAGAATAAATAATACATTTAGTGTGCTCTACGTTATTCATATCTTCCCTTTTATGATAGTTTGAATGGAGTATGAGAGTCATGACAGTAATTAAAGATAGGCTAAATTAGAATTTTTTTCTTCAAAATGGTATGACCAAAACAATATGGAAACTTGACAAAAGAAACTCCTTTATTAATAATGTTTCATTTTCTTTATTTCCTTATATATTACTCTAATTGCGTTCTTCCTAATTTTTTCATTGAAATTAGCATAAATACTACATACCTGTATACTAAGTTGTGAATAGTGTTCTTAGTAGTTGTACAATTCAGTGGTAGTATTTTAATATCTACTTTTTTTCTTTGTTTCAGGTCATGGGAGATAATCTGCTGCTGTCATCTGTCTTTCAGTTCTCTAAAAAGATAAGACAATCTATAGATAAAACAGCTGGAAAAATCAGGTACTTGTGGTTACTGGAACCTCCTTTCCATAACAGTTACCTCTTCCATTTTTTTGAGCCTGATATCACAGCTATGAATAATTAATAAAGTCATTGGAACTGAATCTCCCTGCTGCCTTTACTATCTTCTTTAGTTTGAAAATATAAGTAATAACCATAGCTAACAAATGCCTTTGATATTCAGCCCCTTTATAATTGAGAATTAACAGCTGTAATCACTGACTTGTAATTAATAACTTGTATTAATAACCAGAAACATTTTCCTTTTCTACAAAAATAATAGCAAATAATTTAAATTAACAGACTTTTGAGGGTTCTTTTAAAGGCCTCAGATTTTAGTTTCATTTTCCTCATTGGTAAAAGGGACATTATTTGACTTAGGAAATGTATATAATAAAGGCACAAGACAAGACTAGTCTAACAGGCACAACACTTGAGGATATTTCAGCTTTGCCACTTACTAAGAACTTGAATACTCCCTTTGTTTAATCTGGCCCCAGTTTTACCATCTTGTAGAGGAATATGTATACTTTTTTATTGATTTTTTTTAAAATAATGACAGCAGAATACATTATAATTCTTATTACATGTGTACAGCACAATTTTTCATATCTCTGGTTGTACATAAAGTATGTTGACGCCAATTTATGTCTTCATACATGTACTTTGGATGATGATGTCTATCACATTCCACCATCCTTGCTAATTCCCTGCCCCCTCCTCTTCCCTCCCACCCCTCTGCCCTATCTAGAATTCATCTATTTTACTCAGCAATAGAAGAGAATAAAATCATGACATTTGCAGGTAAATGAATGGCTGTTGGAGAAGACAATGCTAAGTGAAGTTAGCCAATGCCCAAAAAACAAATGCCTAATGCTTTTTCTGATATAAGGAGGCTGACTCATAGTAGGGTAGGGAGGGAGAGCATGGGAGGAACAGAGGAATATGTATACTTTTATTGACTACTCATAGAGTTGTTGTAAGGAGAAGAAGATACAAGTCTCATACATGAACGTACATACATAGTATATTTATTTTTTTAAACTGTAATATTACTGCTTTTGCTCTTCATTGCTTTTTCTCAAATTCAATTTTCCCTTCTTTGGAATGAATATGTTCATCTTGGGAAAACTTGCCCCAAAGTAAATACCTGTCAAATATTGTTATTTTATAACTTTATTACCTATTCAAAACAGAGAATTCTAGATTCTGTGTAATAATATTTCAGAAATCATTGACACTGTAACTTAATTTGTTTGTAGTTCATATAATTAAAAGTTTCAAATATAATGAAACTATTTCTTAAAGTTATTTGTTAATTATAAATTACACACAAATATAATTTTATGTGGCTTGTGTATTAAAATAAAACATTTCATCAGTGTTTGATAAATACCAATAAGTATTTGGGGAAAACAGTGAACATTATTTTTATTGAATTTTAAGGTAAATTACCTAGTTTAAAAGAAACTTAAGATATTTTTTCAAAAACTATTTCAAAAGTATCATATCAAACGTGTTTAAAGTATTTTTTAAAAAATATTAAAAATGTTTACTATAAAAAGTTTACATCATCTTTCAATCAAATGTAGAAATTTTACTTAGCATATTAAGAACTGGCTTGAGCTTTCTTTCATATTTAAGGCAGGGGGGGCTACCTGGGATTGAACTCAGGAGCACTTGACCACTGAGCCACATCCTCAGCCCCCTTTTTGTATTTATTTAGAGACAGGGTCTCAGTGAGTTGCTTATTAGCACTTGGCTTTTGCCTAGGCTGGCTTTGCACTTGTTATCCTCCTGCCTCAGCCTTCTGAGATGCTGAAATTATAGGCGTGTGCCTCCATGCCTGGCACTTTCTTTTATATCTTGAGTTCTTTTTTTAAAAAAAAAATATTTATTATTTATTTTTAGTTTTCGGCGGCAGACACAACATCTTTATATGTGGTGCTGAGGATCGAACCCGGGCAGCACGCATGCCAGGCGAGCGCGCTACCGCTTGAGCCACATCCCCAGCCCCATATCTTGAGTTCTTGTCTGTATAATTTCTTAAAAATGTACCAGATCATCTCTTCATTTTGTTGTCTTCTAGAAGAAAAATAATCAAAAATTTGTTATATTCACAAGAATGGTCTAATCTGTACTGTCTGGTTCTTTTTTCCTCTTTATTTGTAAATGAGTATCTTAACAGAAGTAATATATGAGCATGGTTTAAAAATACAAATATTTTAGGGGCTGGGTTGTGGCTCAGGACACCTAGCATGTGTGAGATGCTGGATTCGATTCTTAGCACTGCATAAAAATAAATAAAATAAAGATATTATGTCCACCTGCAATTAAATTTTTTTTAAAAACATACAAATATTTCAGAAAAATATACATATAATGTCTTTTACCTGTATATGTTTATATATGTCAGTACACAAATATATTTTTTCCATATTTTTGTCTTTTCAATCAATATTTTTTCGAGAATATAACTGAAGTATATTGATAGTCTCTCCAAATTGGGTTGGAATATGAGACATACTACCTTTATAGTTAAAAAAAAAAAGCATTTGATTATTTGGCTTTTCTTAAGTTGTTCCTCATAAACATAAGTGGTCTTTTAAATTATTTTAATAACTATACCCTTATTTTGCCATCCATTGTTCTTTTTTCAAGAAAATTTACTCTGTCAATTGTGACATATTCCTATGAGTTTCAAATAAAGTTAACTTTCCACAGAATAATAATTTAATATCCATTCAGTAACAGATAGTTGTAAAGTACATTGTAGGTACTTTAGAATTTTTGTTAATTAGACCTTAACAAAACAAAAACCCCTGCTGTTGTGGAGTTTACATTCTAGGTAATATATTCAAATGAGTCAACCTGGGTTAAGTTAGCTGTTTCTGCTACCTGATTTGTCTTAGTTTCATTATTTCACAAGAATATTATTTGTAGTTCACTAATCACAATTTGTGTTCCCACAGAAGTCTAGTCATCTTCTTTTCCTTTTTCCTAATATTAAAATCATTAGTAGTTACATAGAAGAGATAATAAAAATATAAATAACAATACTAATTTTACTTTAGTAAATTGAAATCCTATTTCATTTTTTAAAAGTTAAGGCTCATAATTCAGAGATTAATCGCATGCTATTTAGAAATAATGCATTTTGTGAAGTCTGATTGAGTTTATAAATGATTCCTTTGTTTTTATTTTTACTTATACACACTGATTAAGCAGTTAAGACTAATGCCATCTTAGATGAGGTTTGTTTTCCCTTAATAGTCACATCAGCCCATTTTCTTTCACAAAAAAAAAAAAAGGAAAAGAAGAGCTTCCCTTTACTGTCATAGCCCACCCACCTGTGATGTACTCATCTAGTGTATGGCCAGAGACAGATGTAGTTTACTATTCCCTTGGGTGAGCCCAACTGGAATTTGAAAGGAAAAAAATTAAACTTAGCTAATTAATTATTACACATGAATTAACAAATCTTCAGGTCCTAATCACATGCCTGCGTATTAGTACCAAGACTCAAACCTCAGGTTGAGTAAAGTATTCAGTTTAATTGAAGGTTATGATTTTGAATTTTATTCCACTAAAATTATATTCTAAATTGGTATTTCATGGCAAGATTATTAACCACGGAACAAATAAATAAAATAAATATTGATTAAATAATTGTATATAGAAATTGGGCCAGAAGTATAACTCAGTGGTAGAATACTTACTTTGCCGTGTACAAGTACTTGACTAGCCCAAGTTCAGTCCCCAGCACTGAAAAAGAAAATAAAAATAAAAATCTTATACAGGAATAGTCTCCAAATTTATTCATTGATAAAGTTGTTTTTAAGTGGATATTTTTGTCTAGCACTTTTCAAAATGCCCTCACAATTGAGTGCAGAAGGCAGGCAAATGGGTACTTATAATGCAATGTGGTAAGAATAGAAAGGAAATTACAGGATAAGATACTGTGAGATCCCATAGTGAGTTTTGGGATCTAGGAGAGATTGGTGGGCAATTTAAGTCCTGAAGAATGGGGAGAGGAGTTAAGTAAAAAGTGTAGTGACAGGCTCGGGATTATGAGATGACACTGTAGAGATTAGGATGTATCAATTTAGGCAGATTTTGTGAAGGACTTTGTCCTTTATCATAAAAAGAAGAAAGCAATAGAAAGTTAATATATTAAATGATTGCTTTTGATACACTGTTATCCATAAAAATATCATAAGAGTGTTATTAAAAGTGTGGTATGTGACTTGCTACTGTAAAACATTTTACATGTAAATGAATATACTATGTTATTTCATTCCAACTACAAGAAATAATCACTCTAATAAGTGTATCCTTATCCACTTACTCAGTTTCCAGATTTTTATGGACTTCTTACTACTATTCTCTTGTTGATTGTTTTTTACCACAGTGTGTCTTTCTCATTCTGCTCTGAACTCATCTCTAATCTCCCCCTAAGAAAAATGATTTATGTAGCTTTGGCATTTAATTAAAATTGAGAACAAAGAGCACATTGATTTATTGGTTGGCTATTGATTTTACTGTCTTAGAAATTTGACAATTTGGGAAAAAATGCCTCAACAACATTACATTTAAATATTAAATGTTCCATATGTTTGAGTTACCTTCAGTTTGAGTATTGGGTTTTACTATGTGTAAAACACTTTGACAGACTTTGTGAAATAAGATAATAAAGAGAATAAAACACCATTTGACTTATAAAATTTATAATCAAGTGGTAAGGTAAAGCACATATATAATTACATGTATAACATTGTTATACAAGACAGCATATGATAGAGTAAAAAGAAAAGGAAGGATCACTTTCATGGGATGATCAGGGAAGATTTTGTGGCATAGATAATATTCAAAGATGGGCATGATTTTTGATAAACAAATCTAAAGAATAGAGATGTAAGCCTTCTGCATGGGTACCTTAAGGAATGCCTGATCTTTAAGCTTTGTGCCAAAACATATAAACTCAAATACCTACTGAGGTCAGTCTAAAGAAATGCATATTTAAATTATTTGAATACTTCCTGTAGATTCAATTTAAAAGTATTTATGTGAGAACTCCTGTTTTGCAGCATTCTCATTGTATTCCATATGAAGTGACCCACTCAAGTTACAAAACATGACCCTGCATTGGTAGACTGTCACTTTGCAATACCAGTTTCCATGTATTGAGAGACAATGCTAGAAAATAGGTTATAGAGGACTTAGAATATGAGTCTAAGACTCCCCCACACCAAGACTTTATCAAAAAGTACTTTTAGCTTAGTAGTTAAATTATTGAATAAAATAATCTTTGGAATTTATTACGTATTCCTGATGAAGTTTAGCCTACTTTTAATCTGTAATGACAATCTGAAAATGACTTTGAAAACTATGGTTTTTTTCTTGAAGATTCATATTGACTTTTGAACAAAAACAAATCTGACCATCATAGCCTGGCCTAAGTAATTTCTTGATAAGCTTTTCTGCCTCCTTAGTATTTAAATATAACATTGTATTAGAATTCATTTCTTTTCTTAATTTATATATGACAGCAGAATGCATTTTCATTTCATCTTAAAATATTTTGCTGAGGATGTTCTGTAGTGCAGGCATTCTGGTTGTAAATTCTTTTAACTTTTATTTATCCTGGAAGGTTTTTATTTCATCATCAAATCTAAATCTTAGTTTTTCTGGATATAAGATTCTTGGTTGGCATCCATTTTCTTTCAGAGCTTCGTATATGTTGTTTCCATGATCTCCTGGCTTTGAGGGTCTGGGCTGAAAAATCTTTTGAGGTACAAATTGGTCTCCCCCTATATGTGATCTGATTCCTCTCTCCTGAGGCTTTTTAAGATTCTGTCCTTTTTCTATATGCTAGGCATTTTCATTCTAATGTGCCTTGGTATAGATCTGTAGTAATTTTGTACATTTGGTGTCCCATAAGCCTCTTGTATTTGGTTTTCCAATTCATTCTTCATGCTTGGGAAATTTTCTGATATTATCTCATTGAAGAGATTGTGCATTCCTTTGGTTTGAAACTCTGTGCCTTCCTCTAACTCAATAATTCTTAGATTTGGTCTTTTGATGCTGTTCCATAATTTTTGGTTGTTCTGTTCATGGTTTCTTACTATCTTCACTGTGTGATCAACTTTATTTTTCAAGTTGTATACATTGTCTTCATTTTCTGACGTTCTTTCTTCCAAGTGATCTAGTCTGGAAGTAATCTTTTGCTACCTGTATTTTCTCTCTTATCTCTTTGTTGGAGTGATAAATTTTTTGCCTGTATTTGCTCATTAAGGTCATTCTTTAATTCAAAGATTATTTTAATTATGAACCTTCTGGAACTCCTTCTCTGACATTTCATCAACTCTGCTGTCCATGGGTTCTGTTATTATAGTGTCCTGGTTTGTTTGGGGCACTTTCCTCCCTTGTTTTTTGATGTTGTCTATGTGGTTTCCTTTCTTGCCATGTGGACCTGAGATATTACAGTTTCTTTCCTATATTCTTGTAGTACCCATGCAGATTGTCTGTACCTCAACTTGCTGTTGGGCTTCCAGACCTTGTTGGTGTCCCTCAGTGGATGCTACTGCATCCTGGATCTGAGACCTGCATAAGATGGAGTGGGTGGATTTGGGTCACTGGTTTGACCTCCCATGGTAGTCTGCTGGTCGGAAAGGGCAGTTGTGCGCCAGAGGCTATGCTCTGGTGAGTGTCTGTCCCGCCTAGGGAGGGGTGGATTGGACTGCTGCGCTCCTGGGTCCAGCACAGGTGGGTGTAGGTGGATCTGGGTCGCTGGGCTTGACCTCCCACGGTAGTCTGCTGGTAGAAAGGGCTAGATTCATTTCATTAAAGCCTGAATGATAGGTTTGGCTTCTTAAGTCCATACCATATTTACAAATTATCCTTTCAAATAAGCTTTTTATCTCTTTAAGAGTTTTGGCTTTTTTGTTTTATTTTGTTTCTTGGTGAATCAGGAAACTTATTTAAGTATTCTAAGCCATTTTCATCAAAGTAAAATGTCTGTGGTTTAATAATTTTAGAACTTGTATGAATTCTTAGCACTGTCTGGCTAAATATAGACTTTTCCAGTTGTACAAGTTATTTTCCTAATTCCCAGTACTAGTGCTACAAGGACTCTCAAAAGAACACAATACTTTGCTTATTCCTTAATATCACAGTCAGTAGCACAACAGTTCTTAAAAATATGACTGGCAAGGATGTTTACTCTTTTGAGTTTAGAAAATTTGATAATAGATCAGAAGAGTATACTTATACCAGATTCCAGACCCATCATTATATTATTAAGTATGGTTATGCGTAATTGTAAATGTTCCAGATTTGAATGTATATTAATGAATTGCATGGCATATTGACCTTTGAAGAAATACCATTAAGGACATTAATTTACTATTTAAATATTAATTAGCTACCAATAGTAAAAACTTACTTTCTTAATGTTGTACAGTGTTGATTTTTACATAAGGCAGTTAAGCTACATTTCCAGAGTGACTCATTGAAGAAATTTTTTAAAAATTTAAAAATGGTAGTTAGTATTTACATTTTTCTAAAGCTGCTGAATCATGTCTCATAGATGATAAAGTATTGAATAAAGATAAATGCCAGGTTTGAAAGACAAATCAAAATTTGGTGGTACTTTATAAATTATATTAAACTTAGTTTGCAGTATAGGATATTTATCTCTAAAATAGTATTTTTTTATTAAAAAGATAAAAATTTAAAATTTTTAAATCTTGGGCTGGGAATGTGGCTCAGCGGTAGAGTGCTCGCCTAGCACGGGTAGGACCTGGGTTCGATTCTCAGCACCACATTAAAAAAAAAAATAAAGGCATTGTGTTGTGTCCATCTATAAAAAAAAAAAAAAAAAAAAAAGATTCTCTCTCTCTTAAAAAAAGTTTCTTAAGTCTAATAGATTATATATAAATACAGTAACATTAGCTGAGTGCAGTGGTACATGCCTGTAATCCTAGGGGTTCAGGAGTCCAAGGCAGGAAGATTGCAAGTTCAGAGCCAGCCTGAACAACTTAGTGAGGCTGAAAGCAACTTAGCAAGACCTTGTCTCAAAATAAAATATAAAATGGGCTGGGGATGTGACTCAGTTGTTAAGCACCCCTGAGTTCAATCCCTGGCGCAAAAAAAAAAAAAAGTAACATTCATGAATTAAGATGTACAAAAATAAACATAGTAAGTTCTTCAGTTTTCAGTCTGTAAAATAATGTTTATACTTTGCTCCACTAATAAAGTTGTCTACTCCCATATAGAGGTTTTAACACAATTGTTCATACCTCATTCAGCCTATTTTCACCTTACTCTTACTTTACTTAATACTGTATATATTCTGTGAGAACAAACTTGTGTGTTCATTGTAAGCATCCATCCTTTTTGTTTTGCATTATTTTATTTCATTTTGTTTTGAGACAGGTTCCCACTGTTACCCAGACTGTGTCCAAACTCCTGATCCTTCTGGCTTGGCCTCCCTAGTAGTTGGGATTTTAGGCACATGCCACCCCATCCAGCTAGTAACAGTTATGTTGTTAATTATAAATATTAGTTAAATTTTGGAGTTATGTCAAATCTACATTTGTTCTATATTTGTTTTTCAAAAAAAGAATGAGAAGAATATTAAAGAGTTTATTCATATATTGATACTATCTAGTTTCATTTTTAATACAAGTTTTTCATATGTGTTAATTAATTGGTCCTATTGGCTTAGTATTTAATTCTCAGTTCAGGCAGGTTTTTACCCCCCTGTGTAGCTTTGAAAAGATATATTGTTTTTGGAATTATCATTATAATGAAAACATGTTAGGTTTTTAAAATATGAAAGTAAAATGCTTATTCCTTTTTTATTTTTAGAATATTATTTAAAGACAAAGATCGGAACTGGGATGAAATAGAAAGCAAATTAAGAGCTGAAAGTGAGGTCCCTATTGTGAAAACCTCAAGCATGGTATGGCAATTTTTCTTAAGATTAAGATATTTCAGTAATAGAGTTTTATTTTAAGGAAGATAATATACCTATTTTTGAGTTATTAGTTTATATTTGAAAAAGAAGATATAAATGTACAAATTTGAAAAAATCTTTTTCCTTTATCGGACTATCACAAAGGAATTTAAAATAATAGGTTGATAATTTCAAAAGTACAGAGGGCCAGAGGGAGGAATGTTTTTTCACTAATAAGGAATCTTGTTCTTTTTAATAATTATACATTAAAAATAGCAATTTTAAAATAAGTACAAACATTAAGTTGATGTGAGTTATTTTTATTTACTTAATTCATTGCTTGCCTCCTTTTAAAACAACTTGTATAGATTTCTACTACAGAGTAGAATTCTAATATTAATGCTGCAGTAGTTTTTATATATATTTTTTTCCCAAAGAAAACTCTAAGACACTTATTATAGAGTTATTATAAAGTCAATCAATACAAATTTTGTCAAAATCTTTGTTTCTATAATGGTAAATTACCTTGAACTTTTTATCTTCTATCATTATTGCATTGAAAAATATTACTCAATTTTGTTTTGAAAGATTCTAAATTTGAATTTTGTTTACTGAGTGTCATAATTATTTCATATCATGTTGTTACTAAGTTGTATCATGTAAATGATATTGAGAGTTTCAAATAAAATGAGTGAAATTCATTGCTTGTCATTTGAAAATGTTTTATTTATAATAAACTGATTCTTGTTATTGCTTTCCTTGCAGGAGATTTCTTCTATTTTACAGGAGCTGAAAAGAGTTGAAAAGCAGTTACAAGGTAAATTTACTACTGAATTAGGTATAAAGCGCTAATAGCTAAGTATAAGTGCATTCTAAGAGATGATATTTAAAAAATTTTTATTATTATAACAATGTTTGATTAAGTTTTATGACACATGTAAAAATATAGCATTCTACATATTCAAATTACCCATAAAAAGGAAACTTTAAAACTTGATGAAAAAGTTAAAAATAACTGGGTGCATTGTAATCCCAGTGACTCAGAAGGCTGAGGCAAGAGGGTCACAATTTCAAGGTAAACCTTAGCAACTTAGCAGGACCCTGTCTTAAAATTTAAAAATAAAAAGGGTTGGAGGTATAGCTCAGTATAGCATTCCTGGGTTCAATCCCTGGTATTAAAAAAAAAAAAAAAAGGTTAAAAATTTAGTAAAGTTAAATCTTAAGCATATATTAGTGCTTAGATGTGAAAATAGGCTAGATGTTATATTCTAGGTACATATTTAAAGTGTGTAAATACAGCTGAAAATGCTTATTGATAATTAGAATTATTTGACAATTGTTGGCATAACTTCAAATGAACTTATGTTTTAATGCAGATAAAATTTGCATAGATGAACCATGAGATATGAATACATATTGACTACAGGAACTAGAAGAGGAAGGAAAAAAGAAAATGAAAGAGACTCTGTTTGCCTTTTGAACTTTGACAGAGATATTCTTACTCATATCAGATCTAGATCATTCATTAATACTTGTCTTGACCTAGAAGTCCCCAGTGGTACAACAAGAAAGTTCTAGGGCCCTCTGCTATTTCTACTCAGTCTTTATTGACTATGATGGGCATAATATGTTAGACCTACCTAAGAGGTTCTTAACCTTTATTCAGGTCCATCACATCTAAGTATTATGATATAAAACCCCCTAAATTGTACAGTTTCACAAAGTAGATTAATACATTTTTTAATAGGCTTCTAAGAGATTCTTATATGATGCTTGCTTCTCCCAAATCCTTACTCAGCTTGACGTCAGGTTGAAAATCACTGTTTGGGAACTGCCCTTGACTACCCAAAGATCTTTGGTCCCTTCTGTAGCATTACCAAGGTCTGTTTGCCCTGCTGGGTATTAGTATCTAGGCCCTAAGAAAATGCTTTGCCTTCTCTGAGAGAAAACTTATGCAAAGCTGATAATCCTGGCAGGTGACAGTGTAAATAATTTGGCTCAGGTGTTTATTAAAACCCATAACCAATACTTTGACTATCTTCTCACAATAACAAAAGCAAATTTCAGAAAGGTCTTCTTGAATTCTGCATCTACAAATAGCAGTTATGTAACAGTTAATGAAATGCCCAAGTGATTTTCCATAAAAAACACTCATGTCTGTATAATCTACAATATAGATTAGCCACAGAATTAAAAAGAGTAGAGATTTAAATATAGTAATGGTATTGGAAAGATTAGTGACAATTAAGATCGTATACACACCAATAATTGAAATATTACCCAGATCAAATTTAACTGCATCTACAATTATATCTTCTTCCCTCTACTTTTTTTACTTTCTTTTTTCTTTTTTCCTTCAGCAATCAATACTATGATTGACCCAGATGGAACTTTGGAAGCTCTCAACAACTTGGGATTTCCTAGTGCTATCTTGCCATCTCCACCGAAACAGAAATCCAGTCCTGTGAATAACCACAGCAGCCCGGGTCAGACACCAACACTTTGCCAGCCAGAAGCTAGGGTTCTTCTTCCTGCTGCTGCCTCAGTCTCAGCTGAATTTGAGAATGCCGAATCTGAGGCTGATTTCAGTATACATTTCAATAGGTTCAACCCTGATGGGGAAGAGGAAGATATTACAGTACATGAATGACTTTCTCTTGATTGTTAAAACAATTACCTGTGGAATGTCTAGGAATTATTGGAAGCAGCATAGTATTGACATACAAAACAAGACAATTTGGTCAACTACAATCTTGTCATCCCTGTCTTCTTAATTTTATTTATTTTTTTACCTAAAATGAAGCGTCATAGTAGTGCTTTCAAACCATTTAGATAACCACTTGATGCACATATAGGGAAAAGCAGATTGTGGCAAATTTACCTTTTGTGGTTTTATGATTTTCAAATTGAATTATTGCATCCTTTCCCTTCATAGATCTTTGTTTTTTTTTTAAGCCATGCTGTGACCTACAAGCAAACTAAATATCCCCCTGACTCCTGTGCCAAGCTGCTCCCTGAAATGGACTTCCTCTTCATCTGTACAGATTTGTTAAACATTCTATTTGCTTCTTAATGTTAGGTTTATATTAGTACTCATTACCATTGGACCCAATGACATTGTTCTCCACAGTAAAGCAGACCTTTTACAACTGTCATTCTGTGTCCTAAAATTTTCCAGCATAGATGTGATTTATATAACTTTGTTGCTACATAACTTGTCTTGGGGTTTATGGAGATTAACCATTATGTTTGCACTAAGATTTACTGGGAGTGGTAGGTGGACATATCTATATCAATAAGGACTAACCGTCTTTTATGTACATAGGAAATTGATAATACTGTATTTGTTTTAACCCCACAGTGTTTTACTCCACTTTCAAAAAGATCAATTTGGCACTTTTTTTCAATTTTTTAAATGGAAATAAGATTTTGTCCTCTCATTTTAGATTAAATGATAACTAGAAAGATTAAACTAGACAGATAGTTTAGGTGGAGTATATTTTTAAAACTAAGAACATGTATATCGGTCCTGTGCTACCAAGTTTATATGTGACAGTTGAAAAAAATTCCCCCTGAAATAATCATGAGGTTAAAATTTTCTTCATTAGGAAACTTGGAGAATCAGTAGTTGTAAGATTAGTTGATAGTTTCACTCCCAAGCAATGAATTGCTTCTGTGTGTTTCCCTGTAGGACCCAATAGTAAATCCTGTCTCAGTTTTAAAACACATTTATGAAGACCCTGAAAGACAACGATGACAAAGGCTTTTGGCTTATGCTACTAAATAGAAAGCCTATGAAAAATATCTTCGATAAACTTTTTATTTTTTTTCTTTCCTTCCAGTAAGTTCACATTTGGGTGACTTTAAAAATAAAGTAATTATCTTTGTGTTTCCAGAACACTATAATTTGGGTGAATCTTAGTTAAATATTTTTAGACCGGGATTTCCCCCTTGATTCCAACAGCCCCTAAAGGTTAAACTGTAACTTTTGTGAAATAGTCTTTAATTTTAATTTCAGCAATAACCTGTTCTACCTTATTTAAAGAAACAAAGTAATTGTGTACTTCAGAACTTTATAGGATTTTAAAAATCCTGTACTATTGGATCAATTAATAAAAAGGCAGAGTCTTTTTGTAGAGTTGTAAAAACAATTCTGTTGTATACTGGATTTCATGTTTTTATTTAAACAAACAAAAGATAAAGAACTCCTTGTAAAGCTAATTTCCCATTGTATCTAATAAAGGAAGACTAAAAAAGGTTTTAAAGTACATAAAAGGAAAGATAAAAATGCACTAAAGGAATAAATAAAACGTTCAAACAGGGTCAGTCCATTTGAAGAAAAAAGTTGAACAAAATAATCATCATTGCTCCCTCTTTTGTTTAATGTTTGGGTACTGATCATATCCACATGGAAGTAGAAGGTAAGGAGTTAGAAAATTTAGCATTTACTCTACTTACGTTATTGTTTGTTTATACAGTTTTGTTTAATTATAAACATTTGGCCTTTTACTATGTTATTTTTATTTTGTATGAATACATTATTCTCCTTATTTATTTTTGTTACATTTATTACTTATGTTATTTTGTTAAGCATTTACAATTCCATTTTTAAATAAAGTGTTTCTGGAACTTTATGCAATGATTATACATTTTATTTCTTCTACCATCTGACTTACTAATAATCATCAATTAGTAAAAGAATCTTCCAGTTCTAATTAATATGTGACCATTTTCAAACCTCATATTATTTTGACTAAAGAAAACATATTTTCTTAGCAAATTATAGTAAATATAATTCACTTAGCTTAATACATTAATGAAATATATGCATACAAAGGTCTTTATGATATATATGTTGGAAGCAAAGTAAAAATTTAAAATATCTTGGACATCATAAATTTGAGAAATGTCAATTGGGAATTCGTTTCTTTCATCATATCATTTAAGCTCAAGAATCTTGAATGTCTCTCCCCATTACTAATCAACATTCTTCTAAGTTTTATAGCCTGACCTTTTGAGACTTTCCATAAAGAAGCCCTGGTCTTATGTATCTCTATACCTAATACAATCTCTACCACGATTTGTAAAACTCTTAACTAGCTTTTCATTCCTCTGTACACATGCCACTTCCTCCCCTTCTTTTCTGTTCTTCCAGGCCCCACTGCTCTCTTCACAAATCTTCCCTCAGGTTGGGCTTGGTGGTACATGCCTGTAATCCCATGAGGCTGAGGCAGGAGGCTTGCAACTTCAAGACCAGCCTGGGCAATTTAGAGAGACCCTGTCTCAAAAAATAAAAAGGAATGAAGATGTAGCTCAGTTGCAGAACACTCTTGGGTTCAATTTCCAGTACAGCAAAAAAGAAATTGCCCCTCAGTTGACTGCACCACCAACTTTTATTTTGTCTTCCCCTCTCCCATGAAACATACACATAGTCTTCCCTTCTGGTCACTAAAATACTCCTCATTTCCTTGAGAAGATCATACACTTTCAAACTTGCTTCCTTTGTGCCCTTGGATTTACTTGCCATATCTATGCATGATAGAATTCTAACATTAGGAAAAGAAACTAGATTTGGATATTTTAGATCCAGGCCCATTTCCTGTTAGCTGTAAGAGCCTTCCTCCATGTTTGGATCTGCAAAATAATAAGTCTTATTATCCAGGTCTAGTTCAAGTGACTTTATGAAGTGCCTCTCCTTCAAAAAAATCGCTGATTCTTATAAAGTCTTATTCTCATTGTGTTTTCATAGCCCCCTTGGAATCAGCTGTAATTCAAATATGATCTTATAAATCTCAGATCTGAACAAATAAATCTAGTACTAAATGCCTGACACATATCAGGCAGTATTCTCTTCACAAGAGAGTCCTAGCAGTGAACAGAAACAAACCATTGTGCTCTTAGACCTTAAGATTCTAGAGTAGGGAGACAGGCAGTAAAAGATAAAGGTTAATTAAATGGGTAATATTAGATGGAAAGACCATATTGTACCTTATGTTATAGTGAATTGTTTATGTAGCTATCTCTCAATAGATTGAGTGCTTTGAAAGTAAGTGCATTGCTGCTCAATAATGTTGATTCTCTTATGTATATTTTAATTAAAGTTTCCAAGAACTTTCTGTGGTCTGGCTTTCAACCCTCCTTTTCCTCTGAGCACCCCTCTCTGCTCTAGTTAGACCCAAAAGTCACTTTCACTTAACTACACAGTTTAACACTAGATTTTAATTGAAGTTGAGGAGGCTTCTCTTGTTCTGTGCTGCTGCTGCCTTGATCCCTGAGGGACTCACTGAGCAGTTGAATTCTACCTGGAGTTACATGCAAATTCTCCAAGAAATAATCATCTCCAGGGAATTTTACATCTTTAAGGAAATCTGTGTTCGCATTATTTAAATGTTAGGATGAACAGTACAATGGGAGTCTAACAGGAATATCTGGGATGTAACTCTTAAGTTGAAGCTTTGTTTAATCTCCTTGAGATCTAAATGAGTTCCCAACTCTCTTCTTTCCTCCATGTATATAGATCATTAGCCTGGCATTTCCCCCTTTTCCTTCTTTTCTACATCATTACCGTGAGGTCAAAGCTCCTTGCTGCCCTTCTGTCTAACACAACACTTCACCAGCTGAACCTGATGTTTGTTGTATGTCTAATACTCTTTTTAGTGCCCTTGCATGTATTACAATATTGCAAGCATTTCTTAATTGAAATCTTTTAGAGTTATTATTACTACTGTAACTATTAGTACTACTAGGATTACAAGGTCTCACCTTGAACTGAAGGTAAAAAATTCTTTTAATTTTGAGGCATGGTGTATTAGACCTAGAAATGTTAGCCCTCATATAGTTAAGTCACCTTTTTCCTATTTTAGGTAATTGAGACATAAATAGAACAAGGGGTGGAGGGTTATTTATTGTTAGGCAATATATAAACTATTTCATGTGTGTCTGTTAATTCTCCCAACTCACTTGTAGAAAATGACCTGTTATCATTCATATGTTAGAGATGAAGGAGCTAAGGCTTCCTGAGGCTAAGGAACTTATTCAACTCTCCGGGTGGGATTTAATCATATCTAATTGATTTGGAAATCTGAATTCTTTGTATCCGCCCTTCACTAGTTCTCACCTGGCAACAGCTGTTAGAACCTGGACATGCTAGCAACCTGTACCCACTCTTCACTCTGCTGACCTACAACAGTGACCACAGACCTAAAGAGGTTTTTATGTCTTTCTTCTGCTTTTGAATAGAACTGGAGCTGAAATCCTGCCATTTCTCCTAATAACTTCTCTAGTGGTGACAAGTAATAACCAAATGTTAGGAATAGTCTTCCTTATGTGGAACACAGATCCCTTGAGAGAATGAACTAATTCCTAGACATCTGGATTGAGCGCTTCAGGGAGGATGCTGCCAAGAACCATGTCAGTTTGTGAACCAGCTATACAATAGATTTTAAAGAGGTGAAACCCCAGAGCTGCAAATATGAAAATGGTGAGTACAGCCAGGCTTGATCATGTCATCCCAATGGTTTGGAGGCTAAGGTAGGAGGATCACGAGTTCAAAGCCAGCAATTTAACAAGGCCCTGAGCAACTCAGTGAGACCCTGTTTCTAAATAAAATATATAAAAGAGCCGAAGATGTGGTTCAGGGGTTAAGTGCTCCTGAGTTCAATCCCTGGTATAAAAAAAAAAAGTGAACCCACATCAGAGCTATTACCAATGCTTTGTTTCCCAAGCTTTGTGTTTCAATACTTGTCTGTGAGCAAGGCAAATTAAAATGGAGAAAAGGAAACACCTCATTGGATCAGTAGCATGACCCCACATATTTATCAGGACAAACTGGATAGAGTGAAGCAAGAACTATTTCCTTCTTGGGGAAAACAGCATGGAATCTGACACTTGAAGATAAAATAACAAATATAGGGGGGCTCTGATGGAAGTTTGCAATGAGTTAGGGTAGTGGTGGTTGAGAAAAAGAAATTTCTACCAAAATTGAGAAACTCTTTATGTGCTATTTCCTTTGTCATTTTTGTGTTCAAAAATTACACTGCCGGGCTGGGGATGTGGCTAAAGAGGTAATGTGCTCACCTGGCATGTGCGGGACGCTGGTTTCGATCCTCAGCACCACATAAAAATAAAATAAAGATGTTGTGTCCACCAAAAACTAAAACTAAAATAAAATAAATATTTAAAAATTCTCTCTCTTTAAAAAAAAAATTACACTGCCTACTTCCCACTTGATAATTGTTATGGCTGGAATGTCCACTAAAGTCTCATGTATTGAAGGCTTGTTCCCCAGCATTTAGAGCTATTGGAAAATGGCAGAAATTTTAGAAGATGTGTCCTAGTTAAGGAATGTAGGTCACTGGTGCCATGCCCTTAGAAAATACATTTGGATCCAAGCCACTTTGTCCCTTTCTCTCTTTGCTTCCTGGTTTCCAAGATTTGAACAGCTGTGGTCCACCATGTGCTCCCTGTCATGATGTTCTGCTTTACCAAAGGCCTAAAGTGACAAGTCCAAGTTACCATGAACTTAAACCTCTGAAACCATGAACCGCATTAAATCTTTCCTACTTTAAGATGATTTTTTTTTCAGATATTTTTTCTCAGTGACAGGAAGATAACTTTCTTCAGTGATGGAAAGTCTTTTATGACCAAGACTGTTCCAGTTGACTTCCATGTCCAGTTGAGGATATGTGAACTTTGCCATATCTGTTTTTCATTGCCAGCCTAGTTCCATGGTTGAATCCCAGAGTCTTTCCTTCAAGAGAAAAACAAATCAATTGACCATGAACTTTTATTTATCCCATAACACTTTATAGTGTTGATAGTGTTTTTTAAAAAGGGACAGGGAAAAATGGCATAATCACTTTGGGAAAATGTGTAGAAATTTCTTATGAAGTTAAGTGTACTTCTACCATGCAAACCAGCAATTCTAGGTATTTATCCAAGAAAAAAAAAATCATCTGTCCACCAAAACATGTATACAATGCTTATAAGAAGGTGTATTTGTAACAGACAAAATCTGGAAACATATACCAATATTTGCCAATAAGTGGATAGATAAGAATTATTGATGCATTAATAAAATGATATTATATTCAGCAATCGAGAGTAATAAGCCCCTGACATGCAATAATATGGATCACTTTCAAAAATGTGTTAACAAAAGAGGCTGACATTGAAGAGTACATACTGTATGCCTCAATTCATGTGAAATTCTAGAAAAAGAAAAACTTTTATAGTGATTGATAACAGATCAGTGCTCATGGAAGATGGGGAAAGGAAATTGACTATGGGTATAAGAGGCTGTTTGGGGATGGTGGTAATTATAGGAGTGAATGCATTTGATAAAACTCAATAAGGTATACACATAGAAAGGTGCTTTTAAAAAATATATAAATTTCTCAAAAGAGAAAATTCATTCCCCTATAACTTTGATGCAAATAATTCCTATTGTTTTTTTTTTTTTGTTGTTGTTGTTTGTTTGTTTTCAGTTATGTGATAGGTCTTACCTCTCTTCTCTCTCCTGCTTTCTACACTGGGAAGTGTTGTAACCTCTCCAAATCTGTTGCCTTCTGCTCTAGGGTCAAGACAGAAACTAAGCAGACTTCTGAATCTGACTTTAAGAAATTGACTTCCATAG